TATTTTCACCATTTCCTCAATTTCCCCCACATGCAAACTCCCCACCCCCCTGGAAATTTGGACCCACCCCCACCCCAGATAGGTCTCTGGATCCGCCACTGGGGCATACTAATGTGCATACATATTGATATATCGTTCTACAGATATCTGACGACGAAGATGACGTACACCCAAACATTGACACTGGAAGTCTCTTCAGATGGAGACACCAGGCCAGGGTGGAACGAATGGAGGATCAGAAGAAAGAAAAAGAAACCTTAGAAAAAGGCTTAACAGAGTAAGTATATCAACGCTTTTTATTACATATCTAATTTTTTTAAATGGTCCCAACAAACGCATGAAATATTTCTTAACACTGTGGCATGCTTTATGTCGAAGTGAAAGTAATGTAGTGGATGGACTAGGCCGATCGTCGGCGACCAGGTAGCTCAATTGTTAGAGCGTCTGTCTAGAGTTTGGAGTGTTTAAGGTTCAAACCCAAGTCTGGTCATGCTTTTTTCTGCTCCTATTACATTTGGTGCCTGTGACCAACCCTTGTTTCAAGCACTGGATGAACACTTGGCAAGAGGATACCTGAACCTGGGTTGTGACTAGTTGTGTCTTTTGGGCGAAGACTTAAAAAAAGGAAGGAGGAATGTAGCGGAGGAAGGAGGAATGTAGCGGAACTGTACTTGGTCAATCTCTGGTGACTAGGTAGCTCAATTGGTAGAGTGTCCGTCTAGAGTTTAGAGGGTTCCACTCCTATTTTCATTTGCATTTTTCCACTCCTATTACATTTTGTAGTATAATAATATAAAATAATACAGTGATCCATATGGAGTGTCACCTCTTTGTCTTAACCTGTGGCAAACTTTATGTTATCTTGATGGTAACAGTCTTGCCTGGAATGATGATTTGATTTTTTTTGACTGTACAAGCCCTAACCCCACCAAGCTGATTTAAAACTGGGTGGTATGATAGAACCTTTGTATATGTAACATCAGTGGTCCAACCTAGCCACAGGTGTTACAAATAAAGAAGGTGGTTTGCAACAAGGAAAGTAAATAAACATTTGAATGCCTCAAATCAAGAAGCTTTGTATACATTATTTCAATGAGTCTAGTCTAAAGAACCAGGTCAGTTAGGGAAACTACTAGTTCATACTGAAATGTACTAGCATCACAATGATATTATTAGTATCTGATTTGAAAGAAACCAGTGTATTTTAAAATGTTTCTGAATTTTTTTTTGTGTCCATTGATTCTTCTTGCTGTTACAGTATATTAATTGTGGTACTCTAACCACTACAAGGCATATTCTCTGTTTTATAACAGGCAACACCCAAGCTATATGATGTTGTAAAGTTGACTTGGCTTTAAGTTGTACCATGTTGATATCTGGAATAGTCTCCCACAAGATGTTATTTCATCTCGCAAAGTATTGGACTTTGAGAAAAAAAATGGACGAAATCTGGAAAAATCTGGAGTTGAAGTACGATCATACAGTGCCTTATATACATTTATGTTTACCACAATGAATTTCAAACTATATTGATGTTGATATAGAGGCAGCAATGCCTGTGTCCACTAATATCCTATTAAATCCTATCAAATGTTGCTATGTGCATGACTATGTTTAGTAGTAAAAAAAACCCTCTTTGTAGATAACTTCAATGTAAACATTTACACTTGTAGGCATCAAAAGAAAGTTAACGCTATTAAAAACAAGATAAAGGAAGCTGAAGAAGCAAAGGTAGGTAGTTAGATATCTATCCCACAGATCAGTTTCACTAACGCACTAGAACTTCATCCTATGTTTTAGTTTACAACAAGGTAGTTTTATTTGTATTATTTAAGTCTGTTGAGTCATATTCACCAATTACAATGCAATATTCTCCTTTTGTTTGTAGTGATTTGTTTTTATTGATTATTTCACCAAAGGATAGATGATGATAGTGAGTAGTCATACCTGTATTAAGAGGTTATCCTTTGGAAGTCCAAAAAATGGTCTCACAACACAGGTAGTCTCTTAATACAGGTAGTCTCTTATCTTAATACAGGTAGTCTCTTAATACAGGTAGTCTCCTATCTTAGTACAGGTAGTCTCTTATCTTAATACAAGTAATGTCTTATCTTAAAACAGGTAGTCTCTTAATACAGGTAGTCTCTTAATACAGGTAGTCTCTTAATACAGTCAGTCTGTTATCTTAATACAGGTAGCCTGTTAGCTTAATACAGGTAGTCTCTTAATACAGGTTCAGTTCATAATGAAATCACCACAACTGTGAACAGTAAAAGTGTTCTCTTCACACGAGTGGTTTCCTAAAAGAAGTGGTCGCATGAACAGGTTTAACTGAATGCTCTTTGTTTACTGTTGTTTGTTGTTTACTGTTGTTTGTTGTTTACTTTTGTATTGTATGATGCTGATTTGACATTTTTCCACACAGGATGCAACAGATCAGTTGTCAAAGTTGAAAATTGATTTGAAAGAAGTTGAAGAACAAGAAAAGAAATTCAGAGAGAAAGAGGAAGAGCTGAAGAAAAAGGAGAAGGTTTGCTATTTTTTTTAACTGTATTAAGTATATCTTTATTAGTATGAAGTATACTATAACTTAGAATGCTCGGGTGAGGGGTGGGGGGAGAGAAATATTTTGACAAACGAGAAGTGATATTAAGTGAGGGAAAGTTGAGTATTGTTGTTGGTTGATTTCATTACAAGCAATTAAGATGCTTTTGAGTATCTAAATTATGATAATTTTAAATTTTACAACTTGTTTTCTCTATTTTCAGCTCACACCCTTAAATATTGACACAATTTGTCATGATGGCAAGTCAAAAACAGTGAGTATCTCTGAATTTGAATTAAATGCACAGCTACTCTTATAATGTTTCCAAACCACATTTGAAAAAATGTAGAACATTTCAATGCTTTATTATCAAAACTTTGATAGAAATTATTAACCCCATGGTGATGTACGTATTTCGACACTGAATGACATCATTAGATGGAAGTGTAGAAGCAAAGCAGGAAATATAAGTCTACAATATGTGCATTAAACAAAGTTCATTAAATCCTTGACAACATAAAAAGTTAAAAAGTCTCATGATTAAATATTGCGTTTTTTTTGTGAACTTAAGGTTATCAACAAACTGCCTGCTAAGAAAAAAGACATGACTGATGAAGAAAAAGCAGAACAACAGGTATTAAAATGGAAGGCACTAGTTTGTGACCACCTCCACCAACACTTTTTTCCCAGTGTCCTTATTTTATAATTAACATAGACCCCATATAATGTCAATTATAAAAGGCCACTCCCCACCCTAATATATATATATATATCTGGAATTACATGTATATGATAAAAAGAATCTCAAACTTATTCCATCTGACTTTCATGTAACTTTTTTTATAAAGGGATGCTTTCCTGTCATACAAATAATTTGGTCTGATATGATCAAATTGTATTCAAATGATGTCGTAGAGTAATAAAGTGGATATTACAGGAAGCCACAAGCAGGTTAATTTGAAAAAACACCTTGATATTCTACAGATAATGTCCAGAAGGTATAGCATTGAGTCTATGGAAAAAATTGTATTGATTCAAATGTGCTTCATGAATCTTTATAATGGTGTTTGAATGTATTACTTTAGGAAGAATTTCAGAAGAAGTACAAAGATGACGTGAGGAAGTTTGGTATGTTGAAGAGGTATGAGGATAGTCAACAGGTGCTGACAGATAAACCTCACTTAGTGTGTGAGGAAACGGCAAACTACCTGGTGATCTGGTGTATAGATCTGGAAGTGGAGGAGGTCGGTATCAACTTAACAGTGCTGGTCTGATCTCCCCCCCCCCACACTATTTCTTACCATTTAACTCATAAAGTGCTGTGTTTAATTAAGTCCCCAGATAGCAGTCATATTGATTGATTATGACCGTTTTTAATATTTATTTAAAAAAATGTTATGAATAATAAAACGCATTTATCTCACGACGACCAAAGTGGCCATGTGAGCTTATGCTAGGGCACTATGTCCATTCATCATTTGTCTGTCAATTTTTCCTTTAAAACAATATAAGTCAAGAATGACTGAGACAGAGTGTATTTTTGACAAACTATGACTGAAATCATTGTTGGGCCTAAGTTACTATCTCCTTTAAAGAAAATGTTATGGGCCAGGGTGAAGATCCTCAGAACATCCTCCATAGGGCCTTTTCAAAAAATTGCTCGCTTCAATCAATGTTTTCTTGTATACCACAGCATATCCATATTCTTTCCACACACAGAGGAAATGGCTGTTATTTATCACTGCCACTATGCAGATGAAAATGTAAACATATTGCTAGGCATGAAGAGATGATCATAATCTGAGGATGGGCCCAGGGGTTGGGTTCCACCTATGGGACTTAATTTGCTTTCTGTAATAAATGAAAGGAGACATGGACTAATATTGAATAGTTTTTCACGGACAGAAACACGACTTGATGCATCATGTGGCTCACCAGACGATAGTGATGAATTTCATCATGGAGCTGTCTAAGAACATGGATATCGACCCCAGAGCCTGTGTCCGACCTTTCTTCTCAAAGTAAGTACTGTACATCCTTAATAATTACTCTACACATATCCCCCAAATTTGGTAAAAAGGTAATGTCATCGTTGGACAAAAGGATTAATTATTGCTTAAAGGATTAATTATTGCTTAATATATCAGCAATACATGCATTTTCAATATTATAGTACATGTACTAAGGAATGGGATATAGAGGAATGTATGTCTATTAGAAAGTAAGCCAATGATAACAGAATAAAAACAAAAGAATCTAGAAAAGCAGGTGATTCTCTAAAGTTTTGAAAATGTTATAAGAGGTTGATGTTATAATGTGATGGGATTTTGTGTTGTAGGATCAAGCTTGAGGAGCCACAGTACATGGAAGCATTCAAAGATGAATTGGAGGCATTCAAAGAGAGAGTACGGGGAAGGGCGAAAGTTCGCATTGAAAATGCTGTCAAAGAATACGAGGAGGTATGGTCATTATAACATCATACTTTCTTTTTCTGGTGCATTTTTTTTCACTTGATACATTAACTCATTGGTATCAAATATTTTCGTTTCAGCAAAATAAGTATTTACTTACATGAGAAAAGTTGTGTGGTAAAAGTTTCAACCACTAGTACTTGGGGATTTTTATACACCCTATTTTCCAGAATTATTTTCCTTTGTCTACTTGGTAATTTTCAGACCAATTACAATGGAACTTTCCTGTGAGTGAAATATAGGGGAAACACATTTTAATAATAATAATAATAACATACAACATTTGATATAGCGCCCTATCTAGCTCGCATGCGCCACTCTAAAGCGCTTTAATACATTAAATGGCAGACTTTTAACCGTTTGGATGCTGTGTGCAGTATTCAATGCGGTCTTTGCCAAGTCTGGGCAAATCAAAACCAAACAACAGACTTTCTTCTTCCGCGGAAGATCTTAAAATGCTGTGTTAATTATTTCATGGAATGATTTATGTTATAAAATGATGAAATACATATGAAAACGATCATTAAATCAAAGAAAAAATGTTAAATGTTAAAGAGTTTTTTCAGTGAGCATCATGAACTTTATCAATCTCAGATTACTACGCTTTTTGAACCGAATAATTTCCAAACAACACTTTATCTCCTTCCGTGAAAGATCTTTTGATAATGTGTTCATTATTTCATGATATGATCAATGCTATAATATGGTAAAATATGTCTGTATAAGACAAAAAATTAGAGAAAATATGTAAAGATCTTTAACAGTGGCGTTTTTCATCAGTGAAAGTTCCGAACTATATTTGGTTCAAATTACTACGACTCTTATTCCGATACTCTAAAGTGTGTGTGTAAGAGTTTTCTCCCCTTGTCCATCATTGCATAGTTTCATGCTCGCGACTTGTTGAACGACTGTTTGATAACTGTTCTTGATCAAGTAGGCTTTGTGTTTCTTTTGTCTCAATGGAAAGTCTCTAAGTGAAAGAGAATGTTGACTTATGCTGAAGTAGCGGTCAGCAGCTGTGCCTAATGAGTTTATAGATAGCTTCCCAATGCGACAGCAGCTGTGCCTAATGAGTTTGTAGATAGCTTAACAATATTGTCTCTAAATAATGGCCCGATTAGTATAACACAAGTGCTTCTTGAATATAGCATATTGAAATTCATTGAACATCAAAAATTAAAACCGTATATACATATTATTCACATTAACCAGAAACTAAACAATTATATAGGTCTTTAACCTTCGTTACAATATCGGGAGAAGGAGAGATACACAAGGGACTTGCATAAGGCTGTGATTGCACATACTGGAAATAATACAATCTCGTTTTAATTTTTTGTATAATTAATCATGAAAATAACAAATTGTAATAATAATATCATAATTATTTATTTATATTATCTAGATAACATTTTTTTTTTGTGTATTTATTCATAAACTTTCCCATAATCTTACAGGACAATTTTGGATTGCAGGGTTGTATGGTCAAGGTCACTGTTACTATTTTTTAAAAAGATCATTGTCTGCGCTGTAGCAGCGTCATTCCTTGAAAGATTTCCATCGATTTGAGACACTATAATTAAGGACCATAATATCAGACAAGTTTCAATTTCAGGGCTGTTGGGTAAAGGTTATTGTTACTTATTTTTATACTGCTAATGGTAGCCAGTAAGGGACCTATATTGTTTTAGCAATACTCTGCTTGTTATATATATTTTTATTGAAAATTATGATTAAGGGATGGGCTATTATGACCCTTACTTAACAACTTGTTCTTTATTATTTACTGCCATTCTGTAATGATATACCACCTCCTTTATTCCATTATTTGAATCCTTCATACACAGCATATCCCCGAGTGCTCTCGGCACTTTAAATTCTTTTATTCAAGATGGCCACCATTGCCTCAGATTTGCCGAGACTATAACAGTTATAACTTGAGTTCTATGGCTTGCTTTGTTGATTCTTTGTTTGAATGATACATAAGGGATATATATAAAGGCCAACTATAAAGTTTTGGCATTCAAGATTGCTACCATGAGAAAGTAACAGTTATAACTGGAGTTTGATCAATATCAAATGCTGAGGTTTGAACTTTTTGATCGAAGATGGCTGATATGGCCTCTTGATCAGCTGAGACAAAACAACTTTTCCTAAACTATCAGCCTGATCACTACATCATGAAGACAACAACCCCATATGTATTTTGCAGTTTTGAAAATTTTCACAGGGTTACTCCATTATTAGTACTATGTCTTTAAAACTACTTGCATGTTCCTTAAATTAAGAAACTTCAGTAGTTGAGCTGTTGTGTATACCGGTGAGTATGCCTGTGGCTTACAGTTCTAGTTTTATCTGTACTGAAAATATTTGTCCATTAACTTGATTTAATCTTGATATAGATAAATGATGTAAAATATGTGCACCGTTGTTGAGCTTACCTTGCTCTCACAGATCTGTTGTGCACCTAATATAATACCTACATTTAGACGGACCTGTAGCACTGAAATTTATTATTTAACAGGAGGAGAGGAAGAAAAGGCTTGGCCCTGGAGGGGAGGATCCTGTGGAGGTGTTTGAAAGTCTACCTGATGTAAATATACTAGGGGAACACATGTTTGATACATCCTTTGAATTTTTTTTTTCCTGTTTACTACCTTCAGCAGTTTTATCCTAATGCTTTAATGTATGATCTAGCTGATCTTATAAATCTTCAAAGAATATATACCTACAAATCTTTTTTCTTTTCACTTCATGCTCAATATCCATTGATTATTATCCCCTGCTGAATGAAGTTGGCGGGTGGGGGGTATATATTAATAGGGTGTGTGCGTGGGGTTAAGAAGAATTGGTCTCATCCATGAATATCTTACTACAACTATCGCCCCTTCAATACTTTCATGATTGATGCATCTGGGGTGCCTCTACTGATTGCATGTTGCAGATGCTGAATTTGACCTACATTTCACGCTTCTGTGACTTGGTGACCAGCAATTAGTTGTTTTTACATTGACTTGTTAACTATGAGCAGGGAATATCGAAGAAGGCGTCTTCTTGTTCAGATTAATTTTGGGTGGGAGGTTAATATTTGAGAAATTAATTACCCAGCAGAAATTAAATCCTATTGCATATATGCTTCACATAGTAGGTAATCTTGTGCATCAAAGCATTTAGTACCTACACTTGGGGTAAGTTAGCATTAAGGACTTGGTGCCTCACTTACTTAGCATACCTACCTTTGCTGTTATTGATAAGCTGGACCTGTATTTAAAGAATTCCAGGCCATCTATTGTGTGTGGAGATAAACTTGGGTCAGTAACTATATGACAGTCTATCACACTGGGAGGTAGTCTGGTTCTGTATTTATAAAATCACATGTGTCTGTATCTGGAATCATATAGGTCTGTATTGATATATTCACAGGACCATCTATTGTACCAAGAGGTACGCCCATGTCTGTATGTATAGAGTCACCGGGGTCTACCTATAGAATAACATTGGTCTGTATCTACAGAATCCCAGGGGTCTCTATCTAGAGTCACATGGATCTGTATTAATACATTCACAGGGCCATTTATTGTATCAGGAGAAGAACCCATGTCTGTATCTATAGAATCACAGGTGTCTGTAGAATCACAAAAAATATGCATCTATAGAATCACAAGGCCATCTTTTGTATCAAGAGGTAAACACATGTCTGTATCTATAGAATCAAAGGTGTCTGTAGAATCACAAGGATATGTTTTTAGGTCACCTGAGCTTTGCTCAAGTGACCTATTCTAATCGCTTTCCGTCCGTCGTCGTCCGTAAACTTTTTACATTTTCAACTTCTTCTCAAGAACCAGTGGATGGATTTTTTTCAAACTTGGTCAGAATCATCCTTGGAAGATGAGGCTACAAAATTGTAAAATTGGGATTCCTAATCCACCCCCTGGGACCAGGGCGGGGCCCCAAAGGGAAAATTAACCAACATTTCAAAAATCTTCTTCTTCTTCAGACTCAGAGGTACTAAAGTCATTTTCTCTGCATGGAAAGAAAGATCATCAGGGGCTTTACTTAAATTGTAAATTTCAGGACCCCCGAGCTATCCGTTGTCCCTTGGGGAGGGGGTAAAGTTTACTTTAGTTTATATAGGGAAATAACACTTTTGGGTATATTTTGACAACTTTCTGTAGGAAATTATTTTTACTTGGTGAGAATTGTCCTTGGAGGAAGATGGTTTCAAATTGTAAAATTGAGATTCCTACCCCAACCCCTGGGGCCAGGATGTGGCCCCAAAGGGAAAATTAACCAATATTTCAAAAATCTTCTTCTCCAGACTCAGAGGTACTACAGTCATTTTCTCTACATGGAAAGAAAGATCATCAGGGGCTTTACTTAAATTGTAAATTTCAGGACTTCAAAGCTATTTGTTCTCCCTTGGGGAGGGGGTAAAGTTTACTATAGTTTATATAGGGAAATAACACTTTTGGGTATATATTTCTATATATTTTGGGCCTCTTGTTATAGAATCACAGGGGTCTGTATCTATAGGATCACAGGGCCATCTATTGTATCAGGAAGTAAACCAATGTCTATATCTATAGAATCACAGGGGTCTGTATCTATAGAATCACAGGGCCATCTATTGTATCAGGAAGTAAACCCTTGTCTATATCTATAGAATCACAGGGGTCTGTATCTATAGAATCACAGGACCATCTATTGTATCAGGAAGTAAACCAATGTCTATATCTATAGAATCACAGGTGTCTGTAGAATCACAAGGATATGTTTTTATAGAATCACAGGGTCTGTATCTATAGAATCACAAGGCCATCTATTGTATCAGGAAGTAAACCCATGTCTATATCTATAGAATCACAGGTGTCTGTAGAATCACAAATATATGTATCTATAGAATCACAGGGGTCTGTATCTATAGAATCACAAGGCCATCTATTGTATCTATTGGTTCCAAGGTTCCATTAAGAAAATATGCATGACTAAGTCTGAAGAATGAAATACTGTGAGGAACGTTATGTCCGGTCCTGCATCACAGGGCATCACATCAGTTCTGCTCGAGTTTTGATCTGCTGAACAAGCATTATTTCACTGAGCTACAAACACAAACCAATCCTCCACTGATAACTTATGAAACAGTGGCTTTCCTTTCTATTTTAGGCTATGAAGGAGTGTTTTGATGCCAAAGACATTCCCATGCTACAGAAAGTGATATCAGAGATGGAACATGAGGAGGCCAGCTACCACCTCAAGCGCTGCATAGACTCAGGCCTATGGGTGCCAGAAGCCGGCAAGCAACCAGCTGGAGCAGGGGAGGAAGGTGACGAGGATGACGAGGTTGAATATGCAGAGGTCAGCAGTATGTCGTCAGCAGAAAAGAAAAGTATTGATGATGTGGACTGAAAAAAAGTTGTTTCGAATCAAATACATCATGTTGTGCATCCTACAGTGTTAATGTGAGAAAGACACATTCTAGAAAAACACCTTCTATTATTATCTGCAAGGAAACGTTGAAGTTTAATAATTACTGTTTTAAGAATCATTTCATTTAACAGAAGTGAAAAATGTGCTAGCCAAATCATATACATTGTAAATAGTGTCACACATTCAAGAGTTGTACACCCAGACAATGGACAAATTGGTGTAACAATAAAATACTGTGACAGACTCTTCATTGTAGATCTATAGACACTTGGAGTGAAAATCTGTAGCCTCTTGAAACCATTGTAGGAATGGTCTTATAATGCATGTCTGCTGTTCACATTTAAGTTTGATACTAGGAGCTGACATTAAGAACCTGGTGTGGAGCTATTGCCATGCATGTTATGTTTTATCATTACCACTGAAGATGTGTTGTGCCATCATGTGAAGGAAGATGGCATCAGGGGAGACATCCTTGTATGAGAAGAATATCAGGCTGACAACCCTCTATGCTAATGAGGACAAAATTAGAATTGTACAAACACTATGTATAAATTTGAATATTGTCTATGTATAGATTTGAATATTGTATTTTGATTACATGTCTTTAAAGCATTATTTATTGAGTTTGTTTATTTTATTTCAACAAATTTTATTGCAAAAATATGCAAAGAGATAGAGCATCAGGCAAAGCCTATATAAGCCTTCTCCTTACAACTTCGGTATGGTATATGTACAGTCATTGAAATCATCAAACAAACACATAAACAATTCATATAGTGTGTCTCTATGTCCCCACCGTACAATTTTTTTTTAGTGTTGATAATATACTCTGATATACATTGTAGTACAAGTGCATTGGTTTCTTCATCACATTCATGACATCCATGAAGTAATGTGTTAATATTAAAATGGTCATGGGTTATATTTTGGTTAGTCAGCTGATTTCTAAGTGTCAATCGAGAATGGTTGATTCGAGGACAGATAAAAAAATAATGTTCTGCAGTTTCCTCACCAAGGTTGCATGTGCATATCGGAGAATCTTTTAAATGGTCAAGAAAAAGGTCAGAGTTCAAATTGCTGGCTTCATTTCTAAGTTGACACATAATTATATTTATATTTCGACTGCCATCATTTGCAAAGGTTTTTTGTTGTAGCGGAGGCAGTTTCATTATTTTTTAAGGGTAGAGCTTTTAATTGTGATAGAGAGTTTACATTGGACAAATCAAAATTGAGAGCGAATGAGTTGAATTCCCTAAATGTACTTGGAAAATAGCTACTATAATAGCTTACTGTTCTACATAATGGAGTGCTGAAATATCTAGTCGTCCTTAATGGATGTCTTCCATTTTCATTGTGATATATAAATGGTTGCACTATATCTTTCAGATGTTGCGGGGGCATGCCATGAAGTATCTTAAACATTAATATTAATTTATGTTTTTGTTGTCCATCTGAGAGAGATTCCCAGACAAGTTCTTTATATAATTTATGATGAGAGGTACCTCTGCGCAATCCTGTTATGACTCTAGAAGCTTCTAGATGAACAGATTCAAGCAGTTGTTTAGATTGTTCCGTGCAATTGTCCCACAAGACGTCTGCATAATTCAATATAGGCAAAATGTATGTTTTATATATATTTAAAAGAGTTTTTCTTGAGACTCGTTTTTTAAGTGATTTTAATATATTTACCCTTTTAAACGCTTTTTTATATATACAATTTACATGGTGAATCCATTTACCATCTTCAGATAAAATAACACCTAGATGTTTGAGTAGCAAGGGATTGAACTGGGCTATTGTTAAAAAATATATCTGGATGTAGTGCGTCTCTTTTCCTAGTAAATATCGTTGATACAGTTTTTGAAGGGTTGAAATTAATATCCCACTTTGTGTTTGTTGTTATACCAAAACTAAGAGAGTGGAAAGTTTAAAATAGAGTACACATGCTTTTCCCCAGTTGTGTCATTTTCGTAGAGGTATCATATATCTTAAAACTCAGGGGATACATTGTATTACCTTCATAGGATGAAAGTTATGAAATGATTATTAGGTGAAAATGTTCCTGCTGATTTGAGGTATGAAATGCAATTCTTGTTATGCATTAAAAATGGATATAGAGCATATGAACAGCATATCGAGGAAGTATTTGTGTGTTTCAGTATGTACCATTATCTCAGCCAGACAGGTTGAAGGCTAACCACGGCACATGGTTTCTCCGAGTCAGTAAAAGACAGGTCTTCTTTAAAATCCAAGAGGTCTTAGGTTTTACCTTGCATCAACATTTAACAAGTTAATAAATACAACAATACATTATAATATATTAGAGTGGCTTATGTTAGCTAGATAGGGCGCTATATCAAATGTTGTATATTTATTTTATTTTTTTAAATTTATTATACCTGTACTGTCTCTCTTTTTGTGACTTTAGCTGTTGCCAGGATGTTAAGCACTAACTAACCTATTCTGCTAATGAAATGAGCCACATTATCAGCATGAACCAGGAAGGGGTGGGGCAGGCAAATACTTGTAATGATAACAGAGAGGATTAACTGTCAACATTTGTATAGTTGGCCACAGGAAACCAGAGATCCCAGACGGATCTTGGTGCCAATCATTGTACCATCTTCATACGTTCTATGTAAGATTGATCTCTTCTCTTATCTGTTAAATTGAGTCATGCGAACAGTTAATTGACCTTGTGGTACTGAACATTTTGATCAAAACTTCATACTGCTGTGTATGGCATTGTTTTTTCAAAGCGAGGTTGTTGTTTGACCAATATACTAGCACAGTACTTAATGTGTAACAAGGGGAACCTAAATTTGAGAAAGACATTTCAAGTACTTCTTGGGAAATAGTGATAATAAACTGGAACTGTCAAAACCCAAGATGGCTGCCTTGTGACCATTTTGTCTTGTCAGCCTCAAAATGAAACATGCACAACTTAAGTCCTATGAAATCATCAAAAGAAATTTGATAACAAAAAAATGTCTCATATTCTTTGAGAATATTGATAATGGGGCACTTACCTTGAAATTTGCTAAAAAGATCACTCTAGTATTTTCTGAGCGAAAGTGCTCACAATCTTTCATTTTAAAAAATCAAGATGGTTGCCTGTTGGCCATCTTGATCTATTAATTTAATCCCAAAACCCTCTATGCATAACTAGGAACCATGGGGAACCTACATGTGAAATTTGAAAGATCACCCCAGTACTTTCTAAGCAATAAAGCTAAACCTTTAACTCTCAAAAATGAAGTTGACAACCTGTTGACCACCTTTGTTCATCAATCAGTCATAAAATTTGATTTTTAAAATTATGAAACAGGAGACCTTCATGTGGAATTTGAAAAAGTTCCTATCTTTCTGAGAAATGGCCCTAACAAACTAAACTCTCAAAATCCAAGATGGCCATCTGTCTCCCATGTTTGGTTTTCCGATCAGTCCCAAAATCTGATATGCTTAACTAGAAAGATCCCTCCAGTAATTTCTGAGAACATTGACAAGAATAGTTTCAGGACAATGGCAGGCTTAAAACCATGGGAGATTTAGTTCTGGAATAGTTCTTACCTATTTTTTTCTTGATGCATACAGCACTTCTTTTTTAGCTCACCAGCCTGAAGGGCAAGTGAACTTATGCCATGGCACAGCGTTCGTTGTACGTCCTTCAATTTTTTCCTTTAAAACCCTACTAGTCCTGAATGGCTTAGTCAATTTTAACTTAATCAGGTCTGGAGCATCCTTGAGCCAAGGGCTCCTGATTTTGAATAAATGGTTGCTGTGGCCCCCCTGGGGACAGAAGAGCTTAGGAAGGGAAATTATATTTCCTGTGAATGATACGGGAAACTTAGCAAATTCTTCAAAATCCTTCTCTCTGTAGGAAAGACAGGATTTTGTCAAATTGCATATAGATATAGCCCCTGACTAACCATGTACTACATACATGTACCCTACCAGCAACATCTGGCTATTTCAACTTTAATTTTGCTAACATGTCCAGGTGAGCGATATAGGCCCTCTGGGCCTCTTGTCTTCTGAACAAATGTGACCGGACCTGTGATTGTATATTTGAGATTTGACTTGCTGTGAGTGTAGTGCAAGTCTCAATATCATCAGATTGTCTACAGTTCAGAAATATTTCTCTTCAGTGTCGTTTTAGAAGAAAACCCTAGTCTTCATATAAATGCTTTGTTGTAAAATATAGAGGTTGTGTGATATTTTCATTTCATTTTACACAGAATGAGTTCTTAAAGAACAAAGTCAGGAAATAATTTCAAAGTTACATGCTATTATCTCACAAATAATACCTGAGATCTTACTATAGAAATAATGTTATATTATGCTACCTCATACCAGTACATTATACTTAAGTACCTGGGATTTTATTAAGTAACATTATGTGCTCCCTCACACATTATACCTTGAAACTTATTATAGAGTTAGGGTTGTATGCTACATCACACATTATACCTGGGATTTTGTTATAGAGTTAGGGTTATATGCTACATCACACATTATACCCAAGGTGGTATAACAGTTAAGGTTATGCTACATCACACATTATACCTGGGATTTTGTTATAGTGTTAGGGTTATATGCTACATCACACATTATACCCAAGGTGGTATAACAGTTAAGGTTATGCTACATCACACATTATATCTGGGATCTTATTATAGAGTGAGGGTTATATGCTTCCTCACACATTATACCCAAGATGGTATAACATAGTTAAGGTTATACTACCTCATGCATTATACCCAAGATGGTATAACAGAGTTAGGTTATGCTACCTCACACATTATACCTGGGATCTTATTATAGAGTGAGGGTTATATGCTTTCTCACACATTATACCCAAGATGGTATAACAGACTTAAGGTTATATGCTACCTCACACATTATACCCAAGGTGGTATAACAGTTAAGGTTATGCTACATCACACATTATACCTGGGATTTTGTTATAGAGTTAGGGTTATATGCTACATCACACATTATACCCAAGGCGGTATAACAGTTAAGGTTATGCTACATCACACATTATACCTGGGATTTTGTTATAGGGTTAGGGTTATATGCTACATCACACATTATACCCAAGGCGGTATAACAGTTAAGGTTATGCTACATCACACATTATACCTGGGATTTTGTTATAGGGTTAGGGTTATATGCTACATCACACATTATCCCCAAGGTGGTATAACAGTTAAGGTTATGCTACATCACACATTATACCTGGGATTTTGTTATAGGGTTAGGGTTATATGCTACATCACACATTATACCCAAGGCGGTATAACAGTTAAGGTTATGCTACATCACACATTATATCTGGGATCTTATTATAGAGTGAGGGTTATATGCTTCCTCACACATTATACCCAAGATGGTATAACAGAGTTAGGTTATGATAACTCACACATTATACCTGGGATCTTATTATAGAGTGAGGGTTATATGCTATCTCACCCATTATACCCAAGATGGCATAACAGAGTTAAGGTTATGCTAACTCACACATTTTACCTTTTATTATGTTAGATTTATCTCTTAAAGTTTAGCAAGAGGCCCAGAGGGCCTGTATCGCTCACCTGAATATGTTTAAAATAATTGGTATGAAGTAAAGATATAGCACTTCATGGTAGGTGCTGTAAGTACGTATGAAATTTCAGAAAGATCCATCCAGTACTTGAGATATAGTGAGAACAAACTTCAAACAGAGCCCCACCCCTATGCCCCTAGGGGGGCCGTACCCACCAATTATACAAAATTGAGACCCCTTGGTCCAAGGATGCTCCAGACTAAATTTGGAAAAAATCCCTTAATCTCGATGGTCGAAGAAGGATTTTAAAGGTTTTACCTCTATTTCTCCTTTTGGCCCCCGCCCTTCTGCCCCTGGGAGACCACACCCACTGCATATACAAAATTAAGTCCACTTGGGCCAAGGGGACTTAATTTTGTTAACCTGAGGGGCCAGACCCACAGTTTATACAAACATGGTTCCCCTTCACCCAAGGATGCTTCAGACCAAATTTGGAACAAATCCTTTCATTCCTACAGAAGAAGAAGGATTTTAAAGAATAATTTGCTATGTTTCCCCTATTGGGCCCCACCTCTCAGGCCCCTGGCGGGCCAGACCCACGGTTTATACAAAATTGGTTCCCCTTCACCCAAGGATGCTTCAGACCAAATATGGAACAATTCCTTTCATTCCTACAGAAGAAGATGGATATTAAAGAATTTCCTATATTTCCCCTATTGGGCCCCGCCCCTCAGCCCCCAGGGAGGCCAGACCCAACGTTTATACAAAATTGGTTCCTTTTTTACCCAAGGATGCTCCACACCAAAATATGGAACAAATCCTTTCATTCCGACAGAAGAAGGATTTTAAAGAATAATTTGCTATGTTTCCCCTATTGGGCCCCACCTCTCAGGCCCCTGGCGGGCCAGACCCACGGTTTATACAAAATTGGTTCCCCTTCACCCAAGGATGCTTCAGACCAAATATGGAACAATTCCTTTCATTCCTACAGAAGAAGATGGATATTAAAGAATTTCCTATATTTCCCCTATTGGGCCCCGCCCCTCAGCCCCCAGGGAGGCCAGACCCAACGTTTATACAAAATTGGTTCCTTTTTTACCCAAGGATGCTCCACACCAAAATATGGAACAAATCCTTTCATTCCGACAGAAGAAGGATTTTAAAGAATAATTTGCTATGTTTCCCCTATTGGGCCCCACCTCTCAGGCCCCTGGCGGGCCAGACCCACGGTTTATACAAAATTGGTTCCCCTTCACCCAAGGATGCTTCAGACCAAATATGGAACAATTCCTTTCATTCCTACAGAAGAAGATGGATATTAAAGAATTTCCTATATTTCCCCTATTGGGCCCCGCCNGCCCCCCAGCCCCCAGGGGGGCCACACCCACCATTTATACAAAATTGAGTCCCCTTGGCCCAAGGATGCTCCAGACTAAATTAGGATAAAATCCTTTAATCCCTACGGTAGAAGAAGGATTTTCAAGGTTTTACCTCTATTTCCCCTATTGGGCCCCGCCCCTCTGCCCCCTGGGGGGCCACACCCACCGTTTACAAAATATACAAAATAGAGTCCCCTTGGCCTAAGGATACTCTAGACCAAATTTAGTCCAAATATATACTTGGCCGTTCAGGACTAGTAGCGTTTAAAAGGAAAAGTTGATCGACGGACGACGGACGGACGACGGACGCTGTGGTATGGCATAAGCTCACCATGGTCCTTCGTACCAGGTGAGCTCAAAACTGAACATGATTACCTGGGTAATATGAATTTTTGTGTACTTTTCAAATATGACAAATTGATTCTGTAAGTGGAAATAACAATTGATAAAAAGAGCTGTACACATCAAGTCTTTTTAAAGGAGTTGTTCAACACTGTAAGGTATATTGGTCCTTATGTATGCTTCTCAATAATGCAAGGAGTCTCATCTTCTGGACAGTATATATTGCCCAAAACAGGTGTTTTGGTCTTCCTCAATTCATTAAATAAATATGATTATAGATCAGTCCCCAGTACAAATTCTCATTTATGTTAATCAAAACAAGTTGCTGATCAGTTTGTTATCAAAAGGGACTTGTAATGCTACAATGTCTCTAGGATTCACGGAAGCACATTTGCATTGTTTCTTGAAAATTGTCAAGGTGCAAAGATTTGTGAAAAGATTTATAAAACACTAGGAACACAATTCAATATTAAAGTTTCATTTTATAAGCTACACATCATTAATTAACAAGGATTCTTAAGATGGTTTATGTTTAGGCTTTTTCTTCTTCTTCTTTTTCTTTTTAGAAGAACCAGATGCTGTCATTTCTGTGGTTTGGGGGGCTCCAGAAAATCCTGCAATAAGTTCCTCCATTTCTTCTGCATCAGAATCTTTATCTAGATCCAAGGTTTCAAATGCTGCTGTTGTCTCCCCTTCATCATCAAGATCCTCCATTGTGACACCGGAGGGAGCTCGATCATAAAAGTGCTTACGTACTGAAAACATACCAACAGTATGTATATGAATTATCCGACCTTCCCTACGATAGATTAAATGTCTTTATTGTTTCAACAGTCTAAATATTTTTTTTCTGAACATTTTTTTTATAGTTCTAAAACAATCTGGAAGATTAAGTCATTAACAGTTTTAAACTTGTTAATACTGTTTACAGTTGGAAATTAAGGTTTGATATTGGAATCTGAACAATATTTTTTGTGGTAAATTATTACAATTTAACATACAAAAAAACTTACCTGGAGCACTGCTTCTAATGTCCCAAACCCTAAGTTCCTTCTCTCCTCCAACAGCAAATACAAACGGAGCCTCCGGACAAGCTCCCAAGCAATGCAACTCGTTCTGATCAAAAGAAGAACAGCGATTCAATATATGATTTAACTATCTTCCTTCTTAGAAAGAGGTTCTAAAACTTAAGGAAATTTGAAAACCTTTAGGGACAGTTTTAAAGGAGGTAAGACGATTTTCAGACTTTAATCAGATGTAGCATATCCACATATCTCTTAATTAGGTAAAAGTTTTACATTTTTGTTAAAACTAACAATTTTGTCACTTTAAAATGCCACCAGGGGTTACACGCGCTTTTGCTCTCCTCACCCTTGGAATATGTCATAGCAAAATTGAAGCCACAAGGCTAGCTATTTGATTGTTGTCAGGTAAAAAAAACCCTGACCAATCACTAGGCTGATACTTGTTCTTGGAAGATAACAGAGGAGCGACGTCCGACTTCGAAGTCAATAAGTTTTACTATTACGCGACTGCAAGATTCTTTTGATGTACATCAAAGGATCAAACTAGCCTTCTCATCTCATCCACAGGACGGTGCAAACTGAGCCTTCTATTTTTCTAAGACATATTCCAGGGATACAGAGAGTGAAAGTGAAAGTAACCCCTGGATATTGAGGATCGGAAGGCCTCGTATACCATCCAGAAGGTTACAGCAGATTAACTCTCATGTACACATAATGAGAATACTGTTCATGTAATCTCTTTATTTTATTGTTGGACTTACCAGCTTGAGGTTTTTCTCTAGAATTAGAGATGGCTTATTGTCAACGACATCCCACACCTTGAGGGTTTGGTCGGCAGAAACTGTGGACAGTAGGCCCCTGACACTACTGCTCAGCGCCAGTCCTACAAACAAAAGAAACAATGTCAACAGAAACTGGAGAGATTGTGAGTGAGCTCACGAAGATATACAATCCACTTCATCTTATCTAGCTATTCCTTGGTAATCCCCCACCCCAAAGTTTTAAATTAGTGATTAACTATCTATTGGTCAATCTTTGTTTGCAGGGAGTATAATAATCGAATCACGAATCTCTTCCTCCACACACATTTACACAATTATGATGTAGTGAAACAAAACCCAACATACACTTACATGTAGTTAAGGAGGACTTACAAAGCTTCTGGAGCAGAATAGCAAATTACTTTCTTCATGAAAATCTACATATCATGTACTTTCACTGAGCCAAGTTATAAAAGAAATTAACGAACAGTTGATACCTATATATCCCCCATATTTGGGGGGCATTTAAGGTTAGCATTTAACAGATATCAAGCAAATGATCATCACTGCTGCTTAGTGTAAATTTATAGAACACAACACTAACAGATATCAAAGCTAGAATTCAACATAGACAAATATCTTCAGAGCTCAATGTCCGTCCTGATTTCAAAATATAGCTGGACCTCACAATATGTTTTGGGTAACCTTTTCAGGGATACGAGGAGGATTAAAATCAATGGAACAGAGATAAAGGTATAATTTTTACTGATTGTTGGATTCAACAGGTTTGGTTCAGACAGATCACACTGAATATGAACCTGAATACAAGCCACACTGTATTTCTGTATTGTCAAATACCTGTAGCCATTTAAATGTATATGCAGATGAGTGTATTGAGGGAAAAAATGACTACCTTATCTTACCTTATCTTACATTTTCACATAGATATTACCTGGAATCCACATGCATTACAAGTAGAATAAGACAGCCTTTTTTTTAAAAATAAAACGCAAGTTAGGTACCATACCTGTGACAGCCTTGTTGTGGGCAGACAGAGTGTACAGAGGTTTATCTGTCCGCGAATCCAGGTAGTACACTCTCCCGGTATCTGTACTGGCCTACAGTGACAAGTTGGATGCATGATCATACGAAAGATTAAAAAACAAAATGGAACAAATATCGATCAAATGATAAAATACCAAGAGAGCCGATATGGTAAAAATGTGATGAGTTTATATATAATATACAGTTATCACATTGTATCTTGTGTAAACTGTTTGGATTTGAAACTTATCCAGCTAAGTTTTTGGCCTCTGGCATGTTAAAACAAATATGACTTTATTTCTCCTTATTCGATGGCAGTAAAGGTGAGGGAGAAATGGGAACACAACTGTTTCCTGAATACTAGGCTGACCAAAGCATACTTTTTGAAAATAAATACATTAACATATAGCTCATAAATTAAGAAATAATTTTGTATCGGTCACATATGTGAGGAGTGATAATAATGTACGCACAAAGAAGTTCAGAGGCGAATAAGTGTCCCAGATGACTCTCTCTATTTCACCTTCCAGGGTCCAGCTTTTAAATGTGTCATTAGGACTCCGACAGTCGAACACCTTCACAGTGCTGAGGGCAGAAAGAGATCGCACAATCAATTAAAATAAAACTGTTCTTTGTTAATGATGTTTTGGTCAGCACAATATTGTTTCATTATAGAGTGCTTCCTGCATCAATCAATCTGGTCATCTGTTGTCATATGTATTGTCTTGTTTTCTAGTTTATTTATTTCCTTAGATACAAAACCGTGTACATACATATGCTATTAAAAAAATAACAAAGGAAAACTTAAAAGTGATCAAAAAGGAAGATTTAAACTTTTTTTTTATTAAAAGATAGTTACATTGGACAGCATGAAGATTCTATTAAATAGTAAATGAACTTAATTTAAGGAAATAAGAATTTTTGAAGTAAAGTGAAAGTAAAGGTCCAGGATAAAGTACTTATATCAGAAAAGATAAAGGAAGAGAGAAAAGAAGTATATGCCATATTACTGAAGAAAATATAATGGTTATTGGAAAATAGCTACAATAAAAGGTGATTAAAGGTGCTGATTAATTAAGATAAAGTGACAATACTTTACAAATATGTCAAATGTTTTTTCATGTTAAGGTATCTGTTGGTAGTATATGATAACAACACAAGTATCAATGTTCATTAACTGTTCAGGTTCACCAGACAGAGTTAGCCAAAGGTTCAGTGGAAATGTATCAAGAGAGAACTGGGGCATGGGAAATCGGATCAACCTGAAGTGGAATTATATCATCTGTGCAGGAATACTGAATATCAGCGGTTAAAAATTATTATCAATTAAATTATAATAATTGCTCATTAGTCGGACCCCGCAGTATGGCTTCCCCTCATTTCACACTAAACATTTGTGATAGTCCATCTTTAAGTAATAAGGTGTTTGATGCCAGGTGACCCTGAAATGTTGAGTTGACTTTTGCACCACAGACATCACTTTGTATCTAACAACTTACTTGTCAAACGACCCGGACAGCAGGGATTGGGATTCAACTGGATGCCATTTTACACTCTGTACCTGGAAACATGAGATGAGAGTAAATGTAGACATTAGCAAAACTAACAGAAGCAAGACGCTATGATTCACTTAAACTTCAATCCATAGTTGATTAATTCACCATCTAGTGAAAACTACACTCTTACAATCATAGAGAATGATTAGTTCTGACGGCAACACTATGTCAGAAAACAAGAGATCCCAGAGGGATCTTGGCGCCCACCATTGTACCATCTCCATTAAGTTCTGTGTCACCTTGAATTTTTCTCTTCCTTTCTCTTATCTGTTTGATCAAATTATGTAAACAGTAAATGCACCATTTCACCTGTTTACTAGTACAGTTCTTTAAATAAAAGAGAAATAGATCCGATCATTACAATATCAGAAATATTTTAAAATTTAACTTGCACCATAACAGACGTGGGGGACAAAATTTGAGAAAGATCCTTACAGAACTTTCTGAGAAATAGCGATAACAAACATTCACTGACAAAATCTAAGATGGCCACCTGTTGGCCATTTTGTTTATCCGATTAGTCTCAAAAGTAAACATGCACAACAACAGACAAAGGGGAACCTTCATAACAAAGAAAGATTATTTAAGAACTTCCTGAGAAATAGCGTTTACAATATTCACTGTCAAAATCCAAGATGGCCACCAAAAATAGCAAAAACAAGAATTGTTTAAGGACGGACGACTGACGGACCATGAACGAAGAGTGATTTGAATAGCTGATGGTGGGTTAACTGGAAAAGTAATACTGAAAAGTGCCTGCAACACCCACTTTACATACACATTACACATTATTGTTGGGTTGGATTTGTGCCATTCCCCTTTAGGCACACAGGGTTACTGTAGTTATTATGTATTAGGAAGATACATTGTAATTCATTTTTTTTTTTTACCTTATCTTTGTGTTGTGTTATAGATGTCACCATTTTGCCCTCGTCCAAGTCCCATAGTCCTAGAGTAGAGTCTGCAGATGCACTAGCCAGTACGTTTCTGTTAGAATTTCATAAGAAAGTTAAGCAGCTGTTCTCCTGTCCAGTAAAGGATCAGATAAACCATTGTACAATAATTTCCTTCGTGAAATTTTAAAATACAGATTTTTTGGCCGAAATTTGGAAGTATTCTGCGTTGAAATTAACCAAATTTTCTTCAAAATAAATTGTTCATGACATTTAAATCTGTAAAAATAAGGATTATTTTTACTGGATGTCTATGGCAAACTGGCTAAATATCTTACTGGTGACAATGGCCTAGAATGCTTATTTATACAAAATATCAAATTTATATATAGCATGTGATTATCAATGATGTTCAATGATATTTTTAAAAGTAATTTTAATTTACAGAAGGGTTTCGATATTGAGCTACGTTTGCTCTGAGGACAGTGGCTGGAATGTCCAATTGGTAGTTTACTGGGAGAATTTTATGCAGAAAAAAGTGATTCTGTCCCCTAAAACATTGACTGGGTGTCCATGATAAGTTGATAAGGCTAAATAGGCTCAGAAATAGATAATTGGTGTCCTTGTGAACAACACACCTACCTGACACTGGAGTTCCAGGATAAGTCCAGGACAGAGTCTGTGTGGCCAGATATTCCTTTCTGTTAAAAGAAATACAAAACTGACAATATATTCTTTAATTTTCACCTGCAAGTAACATTCAATTACCTTAAAAAAGTTCATTCCCTTATAATGTAGTCCTTGTTTCTTCTCGATTATACTTAAACTCATTCACCCCTGAAGAAGCTTTTGAACTCTTCCAATTCAAATGTTGGATTAGTTCATTATGAAATTTAAGGGGTGAATGAGTTAATGGTTTCCTTGGTTTATGATGCTCAACTGATTACATCCAAAACATGATGTGAAAACTCAGGAATTTAGTATATTAATTTGGATATCACAACATGGTCACCCAAATACAGGTCACATTTACTGGTTTAATATATACTATTCATTATAACAGCAAATTTTAAACATTTTTAATTTTCATCACTTTCACATGTGTAATTGGAACAAATTTATCTTGACAGCAAATGTAAGTACTTTGACAAAAGTATTTTCACTGTAATAGGTAAAATTGAAACTGATTTTATAAGGAATTTTCCAGTGAATTACAGATATTTGACGGGAAAATTTCCTGGTACAGAATGCAGTAAAAAGATATATTATTTTCAATAAGAAACAAGCCATTTGGATTGATATGTCTCACCTGTGCCAACGCTTTGACCATCAATGCAATCTATGGTGCAAGTTTGGTTGATGTAGCACTTATATTTTTAGAGAAGCTAACTTAACTTAAATGCAAAAATCTTAATGTTGATGGAGATGCTGACAAAGTCAATGGACCATGAAAGGTAGGCTGCATCCAGCATTTGATGCATGGGTTGAGATGTACTACCTAAGATGCATCTATGGTCCAAATTTGGTTGGTCTAGCACTTATACTTTCAGTTAAACTAAGTTACAACGCAAAAACTTAATGTTGACGCCGCTAATGTCGCCAGAAAAGCAACGCCTAAGTCTCGCTTCTGCTTCTTTGTTGCGGCGAGACAAAAATGCCATAGATACAAAAGTTATTACCAAAGTGCACATGACACAGGTGTATACTTTTACAGAATAAAGTTACTAAAGAGACAGCTTATACAGTATACACACCATTTTCTTTTTCTTCTTATTCTTTGTAGGTTTGTTACCCAGCATAGCAACTGGCTCTAGTGAGTCAACTACATCCAGGTCCCAGATCTCTATTACAGGGTCCATGGTTCCCACAGCAACAAAGTTACCTGTAAAAACCAAATCTTATTTAGGTAGAGTAATACCTGTATTCATAATATTCTAAACAAGAGGCCCATAGGGCCTGTATCGCTCACCTTGATATCTAAGCAATCATGGCAGAATATTCTCCAAATGAGATCCAAGGGAATATGCCAGACCCCAAGGCCAATCCTTGTAGCATATATATCTGTATTCAATTTTTCATGCCCAGCAATTTTATGTATGGTTATGGGGTGGGGATCTCAACTGTTTCCAAGCTGTGACGCAGAAACTAGGTCCCTACGGTTGTGGCCAGACCCCAGGATCAATTCTAATATCATGACTGCATTTGTCTCTTTTTGCCCAGCATTTGTATATATAGTTTTGGGGTGGGGATTTCAACCGTTTCAAAGTTATGACCCAGGGGTTAAGTCTGCAAGGGTGGGGCAAACCCTGGGGTCAATTCTAATATCATGACTGCATTTGTCTCTTTATGCCCAACAATTGTATATATAGTTTTGGGGTGGGGATCTTAACCATTTCAAAGTTATGACCCAGGGGTTAAGTCTCCAAGGGTGGGGCAGTCCCCAAGGCCATCCTGGAAGCATATGTGCATTCATCTCTTTGTAATCGGCAATTGTCTATATGGTTATAGGGTGGGGATCTCAACTGTTTCCAAGCTGTGACTAAGAAACTAGGTCCCTAGGGGTTCGGTCAGACCCCAGGGTCTATTCTAATATTGTGACTGCATTCGTCTCTTTATGCCCAGCATTTGTATATATAGTTTTTGAGTGGGGATCTCAGCCGTTTTAAAGTTATGGCCCAAGGACTATGTTTCCAAGGGTGGGGCCAGACCCTAGGGCCATCCTGGAAGCAAATGTGCATTCTTCTCTTTATACTCAGCAATTGTATATGTGGTTATATGGTGGGGATCTCAACCATTTCCAGGCAATAAACTTTTTTTGGTCCCACCCCTTAGCCCGGGGGGTCAGCCCCACCATTTGTACAATTTTGAATCCCTGCCTCCCATGAATGCTTTTGATTAAATATGATTGATATCCAGTGCATAGTTCTACAGAAGAAGTCGTTTATAGCAATCTAGCCAAATTGCCCCCTTTTTGGCCCCGCCCCTCAGCCCCCTGGGGGGTCAGCCACACCATTTGTACAATTTTGAATCCCTGCATCCCATGAATGCTTTTGATTAAATATGATTGATATCCAGTGCATAGTTCTACAGAAGAAGTCGTTTATAGCAATCTAGCCAAATTGCCCCCTTTTTGGCCCCGCCCCTCAGCCCCCTGGGGGGTCAGCCCAACCATTTGTACAATTTTGAATCTCCACCACCTAGGGATGCTTCCAGGCAAATATGGTTGATATCCATCTCTTAGTTCCAAAGAAGAAGTCGCTTAAAGCAATATAGCCAAATTGCCCCCTTTTTGCCCCGCCCCTCAGCCCCCTGGGGGGTCAGCCCCACCATTTGTACAATTTTGATTCCCCACCACCTAAGGATGCTTCCAGTCAAATTTAGTAAAATTCCAATCAGTGGTTAAGAAGAAGAAGTCGTTTAAAGAAATTGTTGACGGACGGACGACGGACGCCACGGTATGGCATAAGCTCACCTTGGTCCTTTGGACCAGGTGAGCTAATAAAGAAAGCCCTATTGTTGAGAATAACAATTTTATTATCTTCAATTTCATTTTGATCACAATATCGCTGTCTAACATAACATATCTAACATATGAAATAAGAAAGATTGTTTCACTAATATCTAATATCAGAATGATAATAGGACAATCACAGCTGTGATATGACACTCCAACCAGTCTTCAATTCCTTTGAAGAAATAAGGCAAAACCCTGATGGAATGAATCGGTTATGACAGCAATGTCAGCATTATTGTTTTTAGAGGTTTGATCTAAAGCAAGCAAAAATACTGGGTAACAATATCATATATAATACAAGAGATCCCAGAGGGATCTTGGCGCCCACCATAGTACCATCTTCATTAGTTCTATGTCAATTTGATCTTTTCTCTTCTTTTCTTTTATCTGTTTGATCAGTTTGCCTATCTGCCATCTTCATCAATCTTTTGATCAACCTCAAAGGTTAACATGCACAACTTCAGGACAAAGGTGAACCTATGTTTAAAATTTGAGAAAAATCCTCAGTAAATTCTGAGAAATAGGGATAACAGAACTTAAACTGTAACAAGATGGCCGGTCGATATGATTTGATAAGCATAACTAAGAACAAGAGGAACCCTTATTTGAAATTTGAAAAAGATCACTTTTTGAGCAATAGGGCTAAAAAACTTTTACTCTCAAATTCAATACGACCACCTGCCAGTCATCTTGGTTTTTGAATCATCCCCAAAATTTAAAATGCGGAACTAGGAATCATGAGGAACCTTCATGTGAAATTTGAGAAAGACCCCTCCTGAACCTTCTGAGAAATAATGCTAACAAAACTTTCATTCTCAAGTTCAAGATGGCTGTCTGTCAGCCATCAGCCATCTTGGTTTTCCCTTCTGTCCCAAAATTTAATATGCATAACTAGGGGCAATGAGGAACTTTCGTGTAAAATTTGAGAAAGACCCCTACAGAACTTTCTGAAAATCAGTGCTAACAAACTAACTTTCAAATTCAAGATGGTTGCATGTCGGCCATTTTAATTTTGTGATCAATCCCAAAAAACAATATATGCATAACTAGGGATCATTGGGGACCTTTATGTGAACTTTGAGAAAGATCCTTCTAAGAAGTTCTGGGAAATAGCACTAACAAACTTTAACTCTCAAATTTTAATATGGCTGCCTGTCGGCCATCTTGGTTTTGTGATCAGTCCAAAAAATCGATATGCATAACTAAGGATCATGGGGAGCATACAGGTGAAATTTGAGAAATATCCCTCCCATACATCTGATGATGGTGAGCTAAAACGACAACAATTTTAAATGCTCTGTGCTGATATGGAAAGTGAGTCAACCAGAGCAATGAAATTGAGTTACTTGTCCTGCGCTACACATACCTGTGTCTTGATCACACACATCATAGTTCAGCCACTCCACACACAGGGGAAAGGTAGACAGGATGACGTCATGGTGAATATATAGGTTACCATACTCCTCGTTATAAACTGTAAACAAAAGTCAGAAGTATGAGTCAGAAGTTTTAACTATGGCGTAAATGTACCGGTAACAGCCAACAGACAGTCTGATTGTGGTTCCATAAAAGATCAATACAGTTTCCAGAAGTATACATGAGAAATACAAGATAACTTTTAATAGAAATTTTACAAACAAATAACACCATAAGAACCTTTAAATCATGCACCTATCACTGGTATCACAAAACAGTTTTACAAACATGTACATTTATAAGCTGAAAAGGTTGAGAGGATGAGAGGAAAATGAAGGAAAAGTGAATGTCTTTTACTTACTATAGACATCCAGACTACAGCATTCTTCTGTTGCCTTGCCAACCACCACCATATTGTCTGTGTTTTTAATCTCGTACTCTTCATCATCACTATCCTTCTACAACCAAAAATACCATACATGTACAGACAATTACAACAAAAAATACAAAACATACATTGTATACTTACAACTACAACCAACAATACAATACATGTACCGACAATTACAACAAAAAATACAAAACATACATAGTATACTGACAACTACAACCAACAATACAATAAATGTACAGACAATTATAACAAAAAATACAAATCGTACATTGTATAATGACAACTACAACCAACAATACAATACATGTAGAGACAATTATAACAAAAAATACAAATCATACATTGTATACTGACAACTACAACCAACAATACAATACATGTACGGTCAATTACAACAAAAAATACAAAACATACATTGTATCCTGACAACTACAACCAGCAATACAATACATGTACAGACAATTATAACAAAAAAAACAAATCATACATTGTATAATGACAACTACAACCAACAATACAAGACATGTACAGACAATTATAACAAAAAATACAAATCGTACATTGTATAATGACAACTACAACCAACAATACAATACATGTACGGTCAATTACAACAAAAAATACAAAACATACATTGTATACTTACAACTACAACCAACAATACAATACATGTACATACAATTACAACAAAAAATACAAAACATACATAGTATACTGACAACTACAACCAACAATACAATACATGTACAGACAATTATAACAAAAAATACAAATCATACATTGTATACTGACAACTACAACCAACAATACAATACATGTACGGACAATTACAACAAAAAATACAAAACATACATTGTATACTGACAACTACAACCAACAATACAATACATGTACGGACAATTACAACAAAAAATATGAAACATACATTGTATCCTGACAACTACAACCAACAATACAATACATGTACAGACAATTACAACAAAAAATACAAAACATACATTGTATACTGACAACTACAATCAACAAAACAATATATGTACGGACAATTACAACAAAAAATATGAAACATACATTGTATACTGACAACTACAGCCAGCAATACAATACATGTACAGACAATCATAGTCAATAATACTATATGCTTTAAGTAACAGTTAAGTATAAACAAGAGTATTAGTGAAGCTGATGTATGCTCCCCGAAACAAATTTATTGAAGGCTTTTCCTGTTTGTGAATTTTGCATTTAGTTAGATTTATGACACTTGTTTGTATAAATAGTTGAAATGGGGAGTTTAGAACAAGAAAAATAATGTTTTAACATACAAACATGTATATGTGTTTGAAATTTTAGCATAAAACATACATACATGTATATGAGTTTGAAATTTTAGCAAAGGGCGCTATAAAAGTGATATTTTTCACTGAGTGGAAAATACCAAAATGAAAAATATCGCTTTTGCTAATTTGACCAATTAAAACACTGATTACAAACTACCACGAGAAAAAATTACCAAATAGAAAGCATGACATCATACAAGTGGCCCAAATTTTCAAAGCCTGGTTAGCTTGATATTCAGGCCGCCAGAAAATCTGTTTGAGACATTGGCCCATTCTTCTGCCCAGATTAATCATCTGTTATCTACCATGGGGTAATTATTCTCTTGGGGGGAACGCAACATTTAATTCCACAGTTAACTTTCATTTTCATGGAAGCCGGCAGACTATGCAGGCCAGCAATTCTAACTATTTGATAGGAGGAAACTCATGTCAAATGAAACACAGTGTCAGCGTCTTCAAGTCACAAGTTAGGCTAGGTGACTGACAGAAAGTACAAGAGAGTCATGGTCATCTGTGACAGTGATTAAGTATAACTTACACAAATGGTGTTGATATTTTATCATCAGGTTAAGTGTTGACACAACATCTCTGCATTTTTCCCACTCCCTACCATTATAGATTTGGCCCTTATCATCAATGCCGCCCATAGTGATCTGAGTCGATATGATGGGACTTTCATAAAATTATCAAATTACGATAGTAATTTGGAATACTTTATTCAAAATATGAACTTATGTAACTTCTTCCTGAAAATAAGTTATTAAAAGAAATTTAATGACGATTTTTTTCATTTTATCTAAATTTTTGCAGAGGGGACCACATTTTGTTACATAGGTTTATCTAGACTTGTCTAAAGGTAAAAGGATCAAGATTAAAAATTGTCAGCTTGATGAATCGCTTCGCTTTTCTGGGGTAGGTTTTCATAAACCAGAAGGGCCTGTATCGTTCACCTGTTTGTTTTGTTACATGTAGTTGTTGGCCAAATATTGTGAAGTTAGGTTGATTGGATATTCAGAAGCAGTTAAAGGTTTGCAGTTATTTGACCCCTGTGACCTTGAAAGTATATGTAGGGCAAGGCATATTCATGTCCAAATGTTGTTGAACTCAAGTACAGGTCAATGTCATTTTCATTCGCAAATTCATATGGTTCCATCATATGATGCTACTAGGCAAATATCATGACTTTAGGGCAATCAGATCTTCAGAAGTTGTTTGAAGGTTTAGATCTATTTCACCCCTTTGACCTTGAAAGTAGGTCAAGGTCATTTCATTTGCAAACTTTGTTGGGCGCCTCCATTGGATGCTTCTGGCCAAATATCATGACTGTACGACTTTTGGACCTTCAGAAGAAGTTGTTTAACGCCGCACCATGACATAAGCTTATAATTACATGTCCTATGAGCTATAAAAAATGTAATTAACAGACTATCTGATAGTGTCTTCAGTCATACCAAATATATTTCACTTGTGTGGCTAATATTTTACAATCTTTCATTGGTGCCGTGCACTTGTCAAAAATATCAAAATATTAGCCACACCTGTGAGGTATATCTGGTATCACTGAAGACACCTTTAGATAACCTATATATATGTTACTGGAAAACTATTTTGGCATTATAATGTTTAAGTACACCATTTTATTCCAATGATGTGTTCTATATTTCACTACTGATGAAACAATGCCTTACCTCATCTTTAAGCGTGATGTAAGGGTCGTCGTCGTTGCTTGTGTAGTATACCAAGTTACCAAGTCCTTTAAGGGGGTTACGTTCTATCAACATAACAGAAGAAGGGAAATCAATTATTATATGATAGTACATACATTCCAAATGACTAGCAAAACTACCTTCCTGTAAGACATTTAATTACCCTCTCAGTAAAACATATGTATAGGATATAAGACTTATTTATTGGATATAAGACATTTATAGGATATAGCTACCCTCCTGTAAAACAAATTAGTTAATATATTTACACCCCTCGTTGCTCTGTCATATTCATATATGAGTGTACAGGATCAGAAAATGCCACCTTTCCATATCCTTAATATCATATGCATACACATATGTAAATACATCCACACACACAAATGCATGTGAGCATACACATACACATGGATGCTTTTTATAATATTTCACTAACGTTTATATATATTTCTATAACCTTAATCAATTGCAGAGTTTATCCATATAGCTTACAAGCAATTTGCTGCATGAAAAATAAAAACAGAACAGAAAACTTAAACTTAATTCTATATTAACCAAGATAAGAATTATTACAGCAACAATTGAATCTTCAGCTGTAGACATGTTTTTTATGTAATATGAATTTTATAGATATTAGATTACCATCTTCATTATTGTCATCATCATAATCATCTAATCCATATTTGTCCACTATATCATCACCCTCTGTGGTTCCATTGTCTTCGTGCTTCCTCTTTTTTTTATCTATTTTTTCAACCTTCTTCTGCATCTTCCCCCCGGAAGCTCCTTTAGTCTCCTCTTTCTCCTCCTCCTCTTCTGACGTGTCCGATGGTTCATCTTCCTCAAGTTCTCTATTAAGTTAAAAATAATAATAGTTTAAGTGGCTGGTCTGTGATCTAAGACCTGTCATTGACCATAGTGAATCCATGAGGCTATATTTTCTTCATTAGGATTGACCAAAATGTTCCTTTCATGGGACTGATTGTAATTCATGAGAAATGTGTCCTATGCTGTGAGGAAATTTTCTGAAGAACGTTTTGCAAGTCTCATGCTCAAATTGTGTTAGATATGTATGGCAGGTCTCAAGCCTCAGTTCTGAAAATGACCACAAATTCTATACCCTCAGAAAAAACTTTGCACAGTCGGAATATAAACATACGATAAACTTTATTAGTTAAGAATAGGCAAGCAAACCTTTCTCTACCAAGTCAGGAATACTGCACATAAATTACTACTTGTAATTCCTTTTATGAGAACAAGGCTTAAATTTAGCAAATAGTTTGCGACTAATTATTGACATTTTTCATGTTAATAATCTATTATATCTCCTTCTTTACTATCTAAAATATTTTGTTCAACATTGAGAAGACGTTTTACGTGTTACGGTGTATCAAGTAAAATCAAGTCAGGTCATTGCATACATGTACCTGCAAAGTCTCCTTATTTATGATGAACTTTATCATCTTTTTCATTCTCATTTTTTGATTTTTGAAATCAAGTTGATCAACAGAATTTCTCACATCTTGCTATTGCTTAAATTCAATCAATTTATTGCATAAAACAGCTATGATGAAAAATAGGGTAAATATAAATATATATCTAGACATGATATTTTATTTTTCCGAAGCAGTTTTGCCTCTTTGAAGATTTTACATGGTAGCAAGTACATGTATGATGTTTCATATGGATCTTGGTAATTTACACACTCTCTGGTTTCTTCTATGATTCTCCTCAGGTCTTCTTTTTCCAATTTAACCTGTAAAAATAGATATTGTTCGTTTTAGGTATAATCAGTTTTTATATCTAAATGGAGTAAAATAATGAAGAAATCATACTGTACAAAACTGATTTAATCTTTTAAATTCAACTTAACTTACATTTCTATAAAAGTTTTAAATTCAACTTAGCTTACATTTATATAAAACTGTTTATATCATGAGATGAAATACATAACTTCAACTGGCTACATGAACACTTTCAAGTAATTGTTCAACAATCGTAAACGTTAACAAACCCGACAACAATTTTTTTCTATAGCCTAAATATTTCACTCTGTGCATGCAAATGTTACCTGTCTTTTGGTTATTTTTTAAGAAAATTGATTAAGATTTTCCATACACAAATGTGTTGGAATTCAGAGGCATTTTATCCTCTGACTTGGGAGAAGTTACACAGCATCCTATCGTGTGAGAGGTTGTTCCCAACCTATCTGCCTGATATCTACATCCCAATTGATTACATCATTGCTAGCTGTTCCCATATATTTAATGAATGTTAGTATCATTAAACTTAATCATTAGCTTAGCATTTTGTTCTTATTTTGAATAAGTAAAACGACTATTATTCTAGCTACTGTGTGGCTACCTGTGATAACGTAGCTTTTCTGACGATGAGACATGTTTTTTTATATTGCGTCGTCAGAAGGAGGCCGGGTATTAATATTAGTACTACTGTGTGGCAAGCTACAGATGTCAACACATGTACATAACACGTAGATCAGATGTAAACTTACTTTCTCGGGGCTACTTTTAGCGACACCTCGCCTTACCCACGTCAGACATGGTATTATACTCATGTTCGTGCTGATTAAGTCGAGGAAGTGAAGATAATCGTTATCACTCTCAAAATGATGCCAGTGTAAAACCAACCATCATCAATTCTCAACACATGTGCGCTTTACTACCGGAAATGTTCATAGAGTTATCCCCCTTATATACCAATGAGGTTTTACAAGGGGAACTCGTAAAACTGCAGCGAGCATTTTGTCGGCATCGACTATAGCATAAACAATACATCTACATTGTATATATGTTGGGATTACCCAGCTATGGTACACAAACCAAACGGGGATAGGATCGTTTTTCCATACACATTTTTTTTTATTTCTGGATCTAATTAGTCTCAATTCAAAATGGATGTCAGACGTTTCGCCCCGAAACCGTTACGCCACAAACCAGTTCGACCCGAATTTGATTCATATCGCCCCAACCGGTTCGCCCCAAAAAAACCATAACTCCCCAAATAGTTCGCCCCAAAAAATAGAGCTTGCTTATTTTCCCCTTATTATGTGATAATGTTTACCGTGCTAAGGGGAATAACTCTTGTTTCGTGTATGTAGACTACGGAAAGGTCAGCGCATCAAATATATACATATTCCGTGATGATATATATCTTTGATATCTTTAATAGCCTTCTTGGTAAGCCATTATGTACAATGAAATTGTTGTACAATGTCGTAGCTGTTGTCTTTGCAGTTTGATCTAGAGTTGGGAACGTCTGAGCATATTTGGTGAAGTGATCTGTGACAACAAGCACATTAGCAAATCCTCCTTTACACGGCCCCCAAAAAAGAAAATCCATGCACACTATCTCAAGTGGATGAGAAGTATGGATTCCAACTAAAGGCGCACTCTCATTTCTTGAAGTTTTTGCTCTGATACAACGTGGGCACTCACTTATCCATTCCTCTTCATCCTTTGTCATGTTAGGCCAGTATAATCTGTCGCTAAGAAGAGATATAGCACTCTCTACCCTCCAGGATGTCTAAGACATCATGAAGTCCTTTCAAGGCTTTCTTGGTATAGGCCGAGGGCAAAACTAACTGGTAGTGATAAACACCATCTCTGTTGACTTCCTTAAAAAGAACTCCACGACGCATCGTCAAGTTATTAACAATCTTGAACATCTGAAAATTTTCTCTTGTCATAGGAAAATCACGACGATTAGGCTGCCTGTACTTGGGTACCAACTGCATCCATGGTTGTAGCAATACAGCCTGACGTTGGGCTCTTCTCCAATCCTGTGATGTCATCCTCTCCAATTCACCAACACTTGGATCGTTCAGCACATCACCAACCTGTGCAGGAGAGCACAGACTTTCCACATATGACCCTGGATTGGTGATGGTTAACTGCATGTACAGAATCCATGGTAATTGGAAATCTGGATAGTGCGTCTGCATCAGTGTTCATTTTGCCTGGACGATAATGAATATCAAAATCAAAAGCAGCCAACACAGAAACCTATCTGTGTCCGGTGGCATCTAACTTTGCTGATGTCAAGACGTATGTTAAAGGATTGTTATCCGTAAAAACCGTGAATCGTTTTCCATACAGATAATCGTTAAATTTTTCTGTTTTAGCCCATTTCAACGCCAAGAACTCCAATTTATGGGCAGGGTAGTTCCTCTTCGACTTGGAGAGTCCTCTACTAGCAAAACTTATCATCCGTAGACTGTCATCCTGACGCTGATACAGGTCTGCTCCTAATCCCTGTCCATATGCATCGGTATGAAGCTCAAAAGGTTGGTTGGGCTGCGCATAACCAAGTACTGGTGGTGTTGACAAACACTCCTCAAGTTTCTCAAAGGCTTGCGTTTCAGCTTGGCCCGAATTCCAGTTGAAATCAGATTTCTTCTTGGTTTTCTTACGCCCTCCAACCTTAGCACATGCAGGATGAACTGCCTGTAATATCCAGCGAATCCCAAAAAGGCACGAACCTCGTCTGGAGTTGCGGGCTCTGGCCAGTTAAGAACCTTCTCGATCTTACTAGGGTCAGAAATCATATGTCCAAGGTACACAGCTCTCCTTTGGAAAAAAACTTACATTTCTTCGGAGACAACCTCAAACCGCATTCTCTTATTCTCTGAAGTACCTTTTCCAGCCTTCGAGGATGTTCCTCAAAGGAATCTGAAAAGATAATCAGATCGTCCAAATGTATTAAGCAGATACTCAGGTGGAGGTCCCCTAGGCATTCCCCCATTAACCGCTGCTACGCTGCAGGAGCGTTCGACAATCCTTGTATATTCATAAAATCCTAGGGACCCAACCGTAAAAGCTGTACATTCCTTATGACAGTCATCAACCTCTATCTTGTGATAGCCTGACTTCATATCGAAGACCGTGAAATATTTTGCTCCAGACAAACACTCTAAGATGTCCTCAATTCTGCGTAGAGCATAGGAATCACGTATGGTCCTCTTGTTTATCTCCCGGAAGTTAACACACATGCGTAACTCGCCTTCCTCCTGGCTAAAACGACTGGCGATGACCACGGGCTATGTGATGGACGGATGATTCCTATGTCAAGAAGAGTATGAAGATGGTTCTTTACTTCCTCATACATGGATGGTGGTAGTCTCCTGTGTCTCTGCTTGATAGGAGTCGCGTCATGCATATCTATCCTATGTCTCACTGTTTTGGAAAAAAACAATATCCTTGTTGTCATTCTTGGAAAAGATATCCTGAAATGACATGATGAGTTGTCTTCCCTTCCCAACTTCAATAGATGAGAGAAAGTCTTCATCAATCTCAATCTTCTCCATCAAGTTATCTATTTCCTCTACTTCATCCATATGATTTTCCTGGTCTAGGATGGTGACTGGTGTAACTTCACTAAGTAAAGCTTTGGGTGACACAGATATGCACCTGCTGGTGGTGTTAGTAAGCTCCACATCAACATTCCGATCACCGTTGTAGTGGTAAGCAATCAATCCAGGAGTAATGTCTAGACCTTCTGATGTAATGCAGTCTTCGGCTGGCTTTACTATTGCACATGTTGGCTGATAAGGTAGTTTTCTATCCAAATAAGTCTTCACCTTCACTTGGGTATAAGGCTTCACGTTGATTACCTTATCCTCAGCACATTTGAGAATACCAAGACGGAAATTCCTCCTATGAAGCTCCTTTTCTCTAAGTGAAAGGCACATAAAAGCCAAAAACCAAGGCATAAACAAATCTGCACTCTGTAAAAACCGAGCTCCATTCTGCTTATGGCACTTGTCCATGAGTATGGTTAAAACATTAGTGCCCAACAAAACTGGTACCTTTAAGTTGTTGTAGTCAATGTCAGGTACAACTAGTAGAATACAATCCTGTACATGTGTACCAGACAATCCTAGCAACTCAACACTAACCTCAATATATCCGTCATAGGGTAGTGGTTTACCATCCGCACATTCCACATTAAAATACAATCAAGTGGTTGTACAGGTAAGTGTGACAGGTGTGAGCGATATAACGATTCTCCAACTGTAGATACTGTAGAGCCACCAGTGTCTTGTAATGAGGTGATCTTATGTCCAGCAATAAGAATCTCAACCTCATTGGATGAGTCAACAAGTTGAACACATTCCTGTGAATCTGTTGGAGACTGCTGGATAAACCCTATGGCCGCCCCCTTCCCATAGGTCCCTTTCCGTTTAAATGACGGCTTCTGTTTACATTCTGACCTCTGCGTTGATGATCCAGCCTCACTTTACATCCCAGTTGCAAATGCCCATACCGTCCGCAACGCCAACACTGAGGTTCAGCATAACGGTCATCCGGATCGTTTCCACTTGAATAACCTTCATACCCAGTATGATAATCCTTGTTTTTCCCTGGTTGCTGAAACTGAAACTGAGAAGGCTGTGACGTGTGTGGCTTTTTCCGATGATGCATATTGGAACTCCATGACTTCACATCAGAAGTAAGTTGCTTTAGCATCCCTTCAAGTGTATCCAATCGATTCTCATCTGATGTGGTACCACTTATCATCTTTGAAGTCACTGCTTTAGTGTTGCTACTCACTACCTTCTCAACCTTCAATTCCGATTCCAACCTTCTCAATTCCACCTTCAATTCGTTGTAGTCTTGAATCAACTCAAACTTAGTAGCAGATCTATCCTTCAAAGGTGACTGAAGTCCTTTCCAGATACGGCTATGTAACATCTGGCTACGCTTTCCAAGTAGGGCCTCTTGGTCCTCTACCGTAGTTAGGTTCAAGGTGTTTGAGTTGATCACTTATGGATGCCTTAGGTGCTATCATACCAGCAATGAACTTCTAATTACCCTAAACACAATTTCCCTAGAAACAGACTTATCTCTAAACAAACAGTCCACATCGTATCTCCATAACTCATACGGAACTTCCCCCTTTGAGGTAGAATCTCCACTAAAAAATGGTAACCGAGGTGGCTGAGTTAAGACATGTTCCTTGGTTTGAAGTGATGTGGCTGCAATCTTGGATTCCTCTGGCTCTTGCTTTGGACGTGCTCCAGTTGATGCCACATAATCACACATCCACTGCTTAAAGTCCTCTGCTGAGTCACATTTCGGGGTTATTCCCATCTCTTTAAACACATCTGCCACCTTATTCATCTGTTCTTCATCCATGGTGAGAATGGGAATTGACAGAGAAAACGAGGGAATAAAACAAAAGTCCAATGTGCTACATACCTAAAGCATGAAAATAAAGTTCAAAATACAAAATGTAATCAACCCTATTACATATATCTTTGTGTTATATTATGTTGTATCATTTGTTAATGTAAGTTGTTGCTGTTGTTGTAAGTAATTAATAATTATCTCTCTCTCTATATATGTATATTTGTACAATAGTATTCAGGAAAATTTAAAAGATAATTAGATTATTTCCACGCGAAATTATTCGAAACAAGAAATAATCAATTGATATTGACAAGGAAATAGTCACAGCTCTAAAATTGAAAGAGTTACCTCCCATTACCTGCCTTTTATAGGTTCGTAGCGGTTGGGGCGATATAGCTTTTGAGGCGATATGGTTGTCATACTTGGGGCGAAAATTAGGGCGATGTGATTTTTTTTGTGGGGCGAACTGGTTCGGGGCGTAACGGTTTTGGGGCGAAAATTCTGTTATTCGTTTTTTTGTTTAGGGACAGTTTGAAGTAATTAGAAGAGGTAATGGAGGTTATATCTGGAGGCAG